ACTGTCCCTGCCCGAGCGGCATTTCTGTCCCTTAAAGCGGCCAGGCCTTATCGCAGCGAGGACCGTGACAGGTGTGCAGGGTCAGGCTGCCCACGGCAGTGACGCACAGCAGGCGCCTGCCTGCGGGTGGTGATGGGACGTCGTGCGCACGGATGAGCCACTCCCTGCCCCCGCCCCCGCCGCTTTCTGCTCCGTCAGGAGTGTGGCTGTTAGACCCGCGGTCGCCAACCTGTCGGACCGCATGGACCACCCATTGGCTTCCGCTGGTTTAGGCCTCACGCATGGAATTGGGCAGAGCTTGTCCTGCTGTGATCGGCTCATTTCGCTGGTGCCAAGTCCTGCAGGGGGCCCTTCTCTCGTGAAGGCGAGTGACATCCCTGCCGCAAGCACACCAGGCGCTCCCCCTGTTGCTGGCGCGCGCCTGACCCCACACCTGACCCCACACTGTGGTTGCTGTGGCTGAGCCACGGGGAACCCCACTCAGGTCTGGATTTAGTGCTTTCGGATAGATAACCAGTGGCTCTATTTTAATTTGTGAGGAACAGTTTTCTAAAGTGGTCCCCCAGTGTACGCCCCCAGCAGTGCACAGGGCTCCCGCCCCGTCCTCGCCGGCACCGTCCCTCCTGTCTCCATGGCAGCCACGGACAGGCGCTGGCTCAGGTGACACCTTCCGTGCCTGCCGGCATCGGGGCCCTCCCGGGAGACGTGTGCTGAGATCCTCTGCCGCCTCTGAACTATTATTGGGTTCTCTGTGGTGAGCGGCAGCGGCTCCTTCACAGCCGGAGAGGAACCATATCCGACTGGTTTGCAGACACTTCCTCCCACTCGCAGGGCCTCTCCCGCCTGCCGGTGCCTTTGCCGTGCAGCGCCTCCCCTTGGAGCGCCTGCTGGTCTGGTTTTGCTTTGGTTGCCCACACCTCAGGGGTCATATCCATGAAACCCGTCCCCACTGCGAGCTGCCCCGGTCTGTGCCTCCGCGTGTGGCCGGGCTGGCGGTGGTGCCCTCGATGCTGACCTCGCTGGGATCGGCCCGAAGCTCCGCTGGCCACCCCTGGAGGCCTGGGTCTCAGGAGGGCTGTCTGTGCCTTCGAGTTCCGGTGAAATGGAGAAGGGCAGTGACCGAAACGAGACTGAAGAGACTGAAGAGCCAGGTTAATCCTTTTCTAACGACGACTCCACGCCCGTGGGCTCAGCCCAGCGTGAGGAGCACCAGAGGCGCAGGACCCGGCCCCTGGGGCGTGCACGCTGCCGGCTGCGCAGTGAGGACACGGAGACGCGCCGGAGCCGGTCCTTCCTCCCCGAGCGGGGCAGAGGCCCCTTCGTGGACAGAGGACAGAGTGGAGCGACGTCAGGAGAATGAGACCTGCGCACAGGAGAGGGGGGCGCGGGGGACAGCCTGAGGTCCCCGTGGCCACCGCTGCTCAGCAGGGACGCCACAGAGCTGCCAGCCCAGCCTCCGGGCCCGTCCCAGGGCCTTGCTCCCCAGGACCCGTCGCTGCGGGCAGATCAAAGACCCTCCCTCTTGTGCACGCACACGTCGCACACACGCCAACCTGCAGGGATAGGAAACGGCTTGCTTACCAGGCTCCTTGCCCAGCGGCGGGGCCACCGGCGCTCCCTCCCGAGGCTGGTAGGCGCCCTGGCCGTCGCCGTCAGACGGGCGTGCGTCTTCCTCTCCTTTCCCAGCCTCCCTCGCTGGCTCGCTGACAGATCGCAGTTCTTGCTCGTGTCCCTGAAGGCGTGTCCCTGGGAGGGCGGTGCCCGCTAACTGTGTCTCTCCGCAGCCAGGAGCCCGTGACGGCGGCCGGCTCCTGCCTGGCCGGCCTGCTGCCCGAGCTGCGGCACGTGCTGCTGTGGATGGCCAACGCCGTGGAGCTCCTGTACTTCGTGCAGCAGCAGGGCCCCGTGTACATGCAGGGCCTGGAGCAGGGGCCCGACGCCACAGGTAGGCTGTGCGGGCGGTGGCCGCGCTGCCTTGGGACAGACATCTGTCGGGCTTCCTGAGTGCAAGTGGCGCTGGCGGTTGGGCTCCCCTGTGCCCGTCGCCCGGCACACTGGCACTGTCTGCCGTTCACGGCCGCCCCCCTGTTCTCGGGGAGGCCTGGGGGACACAGGCCCTCAGCAGCTTCAGAGAGAAGGCGGGAGCGCGCAGAGCTGTGCGGGGCACGCCGAGCTCAGAGCTAACGCGGGACTTTGTGCAAAGTGCTGAGAACACTGCGAGGGTGACGGGAGGGCCCAGGGGAAGGTGGCCGTGGGCTGCGCCCCAAGGCTTCGTGGGATTTCACTCGTGTGTCTGACGAGGACTGTGCGGGGCCTGGGCCGGAGCCGAGCAGGAGCGGCAGGACCGTCTGCGGTGGGACAGGGGTGACAGCCGGGCCCCCA